ATATGAAGCAATGCATATGCTAGTTTATTTACACAACCATTCCACATTGTGTAAATATATGAAAACATTATGTTGCATATATGATGATATATGATAAGAATATCACAAATGAGTTGAATTTTTATTTGTCAATTTAAAATATTATGTAGTTATGGGAACATGTTTGTGTTGCACGAGGGAGCTTCACAGATGAGAACTGAGAGATGCATTAGTGTCCACTTTATCCCCTTGTTCTATGTTCTGTGAGCCTTTGGTGTAGAGGTTGCATTGTAGATGTGCCACTTAGGCTTGGGCAATTCACAGACAATGCCTGAGTGTGACCAGTTGTGGAACTCTGCAGTAGTCTCCATCTGTTGCAAAAGAAGCTTCTTTGATAAATGGTGACTGGTATACTTGTCTATAAATATAAGGATTCATACTTTGCACATAGTAAGAAATTACATTTGTCTAAGCATATGACAGCCTTGGGGTTTTCTCTAAGATCTATGACCTCTCCAGCCATGTGTATTTGGCTATGTTTACAGTAGCACCCATGAGTTTCTGCCATTGAGTGGGCTTTAAGTCCAAGTAGGTAGCTATTGATTACCCCCAAGATAAAAGTGCCACTACCGCACCAATGTCATTTGCTGTGATGGTCATTGTGGTTATTAGACCTTGAAACTGGGGTTGGACCATCCATTGATGTTTTCCCTTAGTAGCTTGCATAGTACACTCCAAAGCTATGAGAGCTAGCCTTCAGGGGAAGTGGCTTCTAGGTCAGTTCCTGCTCCATTGCTCCAAATCCTGCATCTAAAGTTTGTCCTGTCTTCAGCAGTAGAGCATTCAAGGGCTATCTCCATAACCTGTGTTTTTGGGGGGAGTCTCTTGCACTACCCTGGCTAACAACTCAAAGGAAGGTTTCTCCTCTCTGGTACTGTTTTTGTTATGTAGACTTCAGCTATACACATAGACTCATGTAGAGATATTGTATATGGACTAATATGAATCCCTCTGTTTTTTATACCAGCTAGACATTATTTATCTCTTCTCTGTCTCTCTCTGTCTCTCTGTCTTTCTGTCTCTCTCTCCCTCTTTCTCTCTCTAATACTCCCTCCATGCTCTCCCCATTTAAAGTATTCCCATTTTCCTCATTTCTCCCATTTCTCCCTTTATAATACTAGTCCCCTATCGTCCCACCTCTCTTGAGCACCTTTTCACTCTTTATCCCCAAATTCCCACAGTTCCCTGTATAACCTTCCCTTACCCTCCACTGCCACCCCCGTATTATTGAAGGTAGTTTTATTTTTTGTTTTTAAAGAAGGTTGTTTTTTGTTGTTTGGTTAATTGTTTGGATTTTTTTTTTTTTTTTTTTTTTTTTTTTTTTTTTTTCTAAAAGGGGCACATAAACGCCAGGGAAAAAAAGGGGGGGGAGGGGGGTTTTTTTTGGAAATGTTTTTTTTTTTTTATTTTTTTTTTGGGGAGAATTTTTTTTTTTTTTTTAAAGAAGGTTGTTTTTTTGTGTTTTGTTTATTGTTTGGATTTTTTTTTTTTTTTTTTTTTTTTTTTTGCTTAATTCACTGATAAGGGCACATGCATGCCATGGTACATATGTGGAGGTCAGAGGACTGTTTTTGAGAATCAGTTCTTTCTTTATACATTGTCTTGAGGCAAGATCTCTTTTGTTTGTGTCACTGCTCTAGGTTAGCTGGCCCAAGGGCTTCTGAGTGCTTCTCTTGTCTCTGCCTCCCATCTCACTGCAGGAGTGCTGGGATTACAGCATCTGGCATTTTATGGGCTCCAGGAATCTATCTTCTCTGCTTTCCCAGCAAGTATTTTTAGCAGAACCTTCCCCCCAGACCTTAAGCTGGCATTTTGACATGCAAAGAGAGTGTTAGATTCTTCTCTCTTAAAGCTGTGTGGTCTTGTGAAAATTACCAAATCCTCAGATTCCTCAGGGGAATAATTTCTACCTTTTAAGACTATTATAAGGGTTACTGAAAAAAAAAAATCTCTGCATAAGCTTATTTCATATTCTGTTGCCATATGAATTGTTATAATAAATGGAGGTTCTCATTATTAAAGTTGTTAAAATGACATTTAGCTTTGCACTGTCACATTTTAACAATATAGGAAGGCACACAGTGAACTTGTATCCATTTCTGATCCATGACCTATCTAAAGAAATGCAGACAGCCACTGGAGAGGAGCCTAGACAGAAAGTCAGAAGTTATTTGAACATGTGTCTATCTTAAAATTTGCATAGTCACCACAGAATAGTTCAACATCCAAAAGCACATGCCTTAAGAGTTTAAATGTTAGCTAATTTTAAAATTTTGATTAAACATTTATGAAAGAGACTGACCTCTGGAATGATTTCTCTATGAGTGTCAGTCTTATATTCCACTTGTGGGCACACTTAAGTAAATCTCTAGGAAATTCTGAAGATTATTTTTCCAAGGGTTGGCACCTACATAGACATTTTTAGAACTAGAGTCACTTTTTTTTTTCCCAAACAAGCACTACATTATCCTGACCTTCACTCCTGAGCCTTCATTTCTCAACAAACAGTCCTTAGTATTTGCAAACTCCTCCATATGCTATGATCTAATTAGCAAAGGAAAAGTAACAATTAACTTCATTTTAATTTACTCAATTGTGTGCTGTCTGGAAAAGTTGCTGACTCACCAGAAGATCTGACAAGAATGTTTCAGATCAGAGGGAAATTGGGAAACTTCTGGTCATGTCCCAAATGGCAAGCTTTGGCAATATCCTGTAATAAACACCAGGGGAAAATTGTTAGGTATGCAACAATTTATTTAGGACAAATTTTAAAAGATTTCCATTGGATAATATCACCTTTCATTTTTTAATTTAATCTTGAGCACCCTCTGTGTTTAGTATTCTTCACAATGAATTACTAATTAGAAACAGAACTAGCACAAGCAATTCTCCTCAGTTAACTGTTGACCTGTTACATCTTTAAGATTTCTCCTGAATTGCTATTATGAATGTACTTGCCTTAAGATAGCGTAAAATGAAAGTAAAATAAAAAGTTTTATTTTTAGAAAACCTTCTATAATCACATATATTAGAGTCAAATTGCCAATGACATTTTCTTAGCATGGAGTTACTGGGAGAAGGTTCACATTCACATGACATGGGAAGGCTGAGAAGCTATTTAATATCATGGCTCTGACCTTCAACTTACAGAAGACTTAAGCCTCCATTTTGTCATGAATTCTTCATTTGGTAGGTGAATGACCTGGGTCTTGTTTACTATAATATAATAAATATTATAATAAACTAATATTTTCAATTCTTAGTTTCCTCATCTGTAAAATAAAGTTAACAACAACAATTCATCTATTTTAGGAGCATATCTAGAATAAAATAAGTGAGCCATATGAAGTATTCAAGTTTAATAAGTTCTGGATGCAATTATATGGTTTTATAGATGTAATTTGGCAGAAGAATGTTGATTTCATTTGTACATGTTGGATCACATATGCTACCAGGTTAATAATTATAATTAAGTTTTATTTAGCTAAAAATACTAATTCCTTCTAGAAAATAAACATTTCAATTTGTAAAATACATGGAAATTTGCTTTGAATCTGTCAGGATGTCTGGACCAATTTTGTCTGTAAACATTAGTGTAGACTAACTTTATTCTGAAATCATATGACTTTGTCTTTTGTTTCTGATGCTTAATTTATTAGAAATGGAAACTCTCAGCTATGAGAACAATAATATAATGTTAATTTGCAACATCAAATTTAGTTTTATTTAGGTCAGGAGGATAAAAGGTTTGAGGCCAATTTGAGCTACATAATGACATTCCTGTCTCAAACAGAAATATCATTTCTCTCTCTCTAGACTAATTTAATCTAAAAAATTTATGAATTTGTAGAGTTATCATATCTTAAGGAACAGATAGATAGATTGATATATTGAATGTTACAAAGAAAAACCACATTTCCATAGTATGGAGTCTGGATTTTCAAGGAACAAGCAGCCTACAATGATATGCTCTTCATTTCTTTCCCAACTGCTGGGGAAAACACAGTGAGTCATCTACATGGAATGTGGAGAAGGAGCAGAAGTAATCCCAAAGGCAGCAACTTACAAGAGAACATGGATGTGGTTTCAAACTGACATCTCAGAGAGTCCCTAGGAATGGACAGAAACAATAAAAACTGCAAACAATTATCTCACCTCATTCCAGGAATTTGAGAGAAAAGCCTAAGAGGCTTGGAGCTCCTGGACAGTCTTTCAGGGACAATCAATAGCATCCCACAGGACTAGGAAAAGATGCTCTAGGGCTCAAAATGTGCAGTCACTAAAAAGGCACTTTCAAGTTTCTCAACTTTTTGGCATCTCACAGAAATATATTTAGAAGCAACATCTCTGAAGGGAAAAATCACTTTTAATCACTATAATAAACAGAAAGAGGATCACTAGCAGCTAGTGGCCAGTTCTATTTCCCTCCTCAGATTTGACAAAAGTCAGGTTAGATTTTGTCTTTAATTTGAACTCTTACCATGCCAGTGCATGAAGGCAGACTGACAGGAAAAGACAGTCTCTAAGTCTCAGTGATTCATAGCAACAACTCAGCTCTCCTAGACTAACATCTCAAAGCACATGAATAGCACTAAGGAAAAAGGTCAAGAATGCTTACAAGTTTTGCAAAATAAAGAAAGTGCTTTAAAAATTGGGAAATGACCAAGAAATTGTATCTATAATTCAATAATCTCAAATAATTTTGACAGGAGAGCAAAATGAATATAGATTTTATAATACACATGGAATAAACATGCCAATGTTTTCATAATTTAAATTGTCTAAAAGAAAAATATATTGTATGAAAAGAAAGAAGTCAAGGAAGGAAGGAGGGACAGAGGGAAGGACAGAGGGATGAAGGCAGGGCAGAAGAAGGGACAGAGAAGTGGAGAATGAGATAGGGTAAAAAAAAATAAGGAAGAGAGGATTTTTAAATATTCCATCACTTTCTTTTGTGCCAGGGTTACAGCCGATAATATCTTGCTGGAACAATTTTTCTGAATGGCATTTCAAACTGTTACCAATGAATGATGATGTTAAAGCATTAATATTTGATGCATTTCAAGATGGCATGAGGTTCAGGAGGATATCTAACCTATTGACCATCTGTCAGACTCTCCTCTCTTCTCATGCTTCCCACACAGAAAGAAAAATAAAGGGGGAAGCTAAGGCTAAGGGTAAGCTTTAAATTATATCTTAAGTGTATGTATTCATTGCAAAGGAAATGATCTTATGAAACAATCACACAGATAAGAAAATTTTAAATAAAACTTAGGGGATTCTTTTTAGTCTTCCCTAGATTCATGAACACTCCTCAAATAAAACAACACTTCTGTGTTTCTTACCTACCTTTCACACATTTTATATATGATTAGAAGTATATAAATTAGAGTTACTTCATATAAATTTCCTAAAAGTTACACAACTAGCTTTCATTTAACATCTTTTAGACATGCTTCTCTCCCTCCCTCTACATCACTTTCCCTATAGATTAAAATCCAGATTTACGTATATTCTGAATCAAACATCTTTATATACTTTATTTATAAATCCTTATGCACTTGTGTGTTTTAAAAATTGTCATTATTTATTCAAGCTATAAATGTACACATAAATTTTCTTAACTACTCTAAGAATTCCTACAAATGTCTAAACTCAAACAAACTCAAATAAATTCCTTGTTCTTATTTTGTTTTTCAGTATAATGGCGATTCTAGATTGTCAACTGACAGGTGGAGGAGTCTGAGGCTGTTTCTAAAGCGGTCTAATTGAAGTGGGAAGACTTGCCCTGAATATCGCTGGTATGGCACTTGCCTATCCTGAACAAAGTCCAGGTTTCCATCCTTGATACTAGAAAAATATATGTACATGTCTGTAAGCCCAGAACTTGAGAGACTGAAACACATAGTTCAAGGTCAACCTAAAATATATAGTGAAACCTTGTTGAGAACCACCTCTTAAAAAGTTGAATGAATATTTTCTAAATGTAGTAAGATTATCATTGTGGGAGGTATTCAAAAGAAAGCTAAAAGTAGGTGGCCTTGATAAATGTGAGGCTCCATTGTGTTATCTCTCTGTAGAAGGGAATTGCAATAGGTTGGAAACTCTCAAAGTCCCATCTTAACCATACAAAGAGCTCCATGTATTCACATTATCATACATCCCAAACTGTAAAAGCACAATTGTTAGATGTTGGGTTCCTTTGTAAATTTAATATATATTTTAGATTCCACCTTGTTTTTTATTGATTTTGTTTTGTATTTCATACAGAACATCCCAGTCTTACTCATTGTTATACCCTCATCCCAAATGTCACCCTCCCATAGCTTTCCCCCACCCCACTGGAGACCATATATTCTGTCATCCATGTTACTGTCCACTGTGTTATCAGTGCCCCCAGCGGTTCTCCAGTGCTAGTACATCCACTGAGTCTAGTCAGCCTATCTAGGGTTCATTGTTTTAGGAAGATCAGCTCTTCCTCATTTAGCAGCAATCAGTTGCCATCATTCCTTTAGATAAGACTGGGGTCTGCTGCTCATTTCCTAGTTCTATGCTGGGTTACCATCTGGGAGTCTCTTGGGCCACGTGGGCTAACAATGCAAAAGAAGTTATCTCCTGTCGGGCATTGTTTTTTATTATGTAGCCTTTAGCTATATACATGGACTCTTAAAGAATTACACTGATCACTTCAATCTTTGATTATATTTTCCTTTTGGGTATTTAAGACCATAAAGTCGGCCCAGATAAACCGATTTATTTTTACTCTCAAGGTCATTTAAGGATCTGTTCCTCAGGGGTCACATGGGCTTGGCTCCTTTCTTTTATCAGTTTCATCTTTGTGAAGATAAGTCAAAGGTCCAGCTTGACAGTGACTGGCTTCACTTGGAAGCATGGAGTAAATGTTTCCTCTGTGTTGACCCGCCTCTTTGTAGACTGAAGACTGGTTCAAGTCCATCTGGTGGGGTCTCCATGGCCTTCTTGACCAAGAGGACAGGTGACTCACCACAGTTACAGGGCATTTTGAGAGATGCTCCATAATCCCATGGAACTGAGTTGAACTTGGAGAGCAAGGGCAAAAACTGTCCTTTAAGTCTCTCTGACTAGATTAGTATAGGCCTCAAAGAATGGCTGTTAAACATCCAAGAAGGTTAGTTCCACCAGTCTGGTACTTTTGATTACCATGTGTTATGTAGATAAAGCTTGGGCAAAAACCAAATATTCTCAGATGAACCTTGACTAGACATATATTTTCTTTCTTGAGCTAGTTTTATGTATAATTTATCTGTAGGTTGTTGGACTAATATGGTACCCTCAGGTTTTTTTTAAAACTAATAGGTATGATTTAGCCCTCTCATTGACTAACCCTTGCACCGTGGTTTCTTCATTTAAAGTGCCCCTATTTTTCCCATTTTCTCTTAGCAATACCCTTTACCTATGGTCCCACCTCTCTTGAGCGCATTCTTTTTGTTTAACCCCAAGTTTTCTTGTATAAGCCTCCCTCTCCCCTCCCATTAAAATAACCCCATTTTTAGCCAAATCTCTTTTAGTAACACCCATTTTCTACTGTCTTCTCTTTGAGATTCTTTCTTTTCCTTTACCTTCCTGGTTCCTTTTCATTATCCTGGCTCCTATAGTTATGCCTGGATACATACTCACTTATAAGGATTTGGTGCTAGGGTCCACATATGAGGGAGAACATCCATCATTTGTTTTTCTGAGTCTGTGTTACTTCACTTAGTATAACAGTTTACAGTTCCATTCATTTACCTGAAATTTTTATGATTTCATCATATAAATGAACCACATTTTCATTATCCATTCATCAGCTTAGGGACACTTAGGTTGCTTCCATCTCTTAGTTATTGTGAAAAGAGCAACAACCAACACGGATGTACAAATGTCTCTGCAATAGGATGAGTTCTTCGCGAATAACTGGGACAAATGGTAGGTTCATTTTTAGTTTTTAAAGGGTTCTCTACCATCGCTTTGCATAGGGGTTGAACAAGTTTGCAGCCCACCAGCAATGGATGAGTGTTCCCCTTTCCCCACATCCTCTCCAACATTTGGTATGATTTGTTCACTTGATCTTAGCCAATCTGACCAGGGTAAGAAGAAATCTTAAATTACTTTTAATTTGCATTTCCCTAATTACTAATGATGTTGAACATCTTTTAATATGCTTCTTATCCATTTTAATTCCTTGTTTTGAGAACTCTCTTTTCAGCTCCTTAGCCCATCTTTTAATTAGGTTACTTCCTTTCTTGATTCTTTGCTTTTTGAGTTCTTTATATATTCTGGATGTTAAACATCTGTCAGATGTGTTTCTGATGAAGATTTTCTCCCACTCTGTGGGTATTCTCTTCACTTCCTTGGTTGCTTCTTTTGAGGTACAGAAGCTTTTTAATTTAGTGAGGTCCCATTTGTTGGTTTGTGACCTTGTTTCCTGAGCAATTTATGTCCAGTTTAGAAAATCATTTCATACACCTATATCTTTTAGGTTTTTGCCAATGTTTTCTTCTAACAGTTTCAAAGTTTCAGGCTTTACATTGAGGTCATTGATCTGTTTGGAATTCACTTTTGTGCAAGGTAAAAGATAGGGGTTTAGTTTCGTTCTTCTACAGGTGGAGATCCAGTTTTGCCAGCACCATTTGCTGAACATGCTGTCTTTCCTCCAGTTAATGTTCTTGGCCCCTTTGTCAAATATCAGGTGGCTAAAATTGCATGTACTCATGTTTGGGTCTTCAATTTTGTTCCATTGATCTATGGGTCTATTTTTGTGCCACTACCATGTTGTCTTTATGACTATGCGCTGTAATACAGTTTAAAATCTGGTACAGTAATTCCTCCAGCATTACTTTTGTGCTCAGGGTTACTTTGGGTATCTGATGTCTTTTGTGCTTCCATATGAATCTTAGGATGGTATTTTCCAATTCTGTGAAGGATATCATGGGGATTTTGATTGCCATTTCATTGAATCTATAAATGTCTTTTGGTAGGATGGTCATTTTCATAATATTAATTCTTCCAATCCATGAGCCTTGGAGGTCCTTCCATTTTCTGGTGTCTTCCTCAATCTCTTTAAATACTTAAAACTTCCATTGTAGAGGTCCTTAATACCTTTGGTCATGTTTATTCTGAGATTTTTTTTTTTTTTAGACCATTGTGAAAGGGAGTGTTTCCATGTACTTTTTCTCTGATTGCTTGTTATGGGTATATAAAAGGCTACAGACTTTTGTAGATTAATTTTATAACCTGCCACTTTACTGAAAGTGTTAATCACTCCTAGGAGTTTTTGGATGGAATTTTTCGTGTCTCTTAGATATGATATCATATCATCTGCAAAAAGGGACAATTTGATCCTTTCTTTCCCAATTATTACTCATTTAATTTCCTTCTCTTGTCTTATTGCTCTTGCAAGACTTTCAAGCACTTTGTTAAAAATAAGTAGAGATAATGAACAGCCTTGTCTGGTTCTTGATTTTAATGGGAATGCTTCCAGTTTTTCTCCATTTAGAATATTGTGTGTGTCTGTTGTATATGGATTTAATTACGTTGAGGTATGTTCTCTCCAGTCCAACTCCCTCTAGGACTTTGAACATAAATGCATGTTGAATTTTGTCAAAGGCCTTCTCTACATCTATTGAGACAACCATGTAGTTCTTGTCTTTGAGTCCATTTATATGATTTGACCTTTATTGCCTTAGGCATATTGAACCATCCCTGTATCTTTGGAATAAAACCAACTTGATCATGGTGGATGATCTTTTTGGTGTGTATACGGTTTGCAAGTATTTTGTTGAGAATTTTTGCATCTTCGTTCACTAACTATAATGGGTCTATAGTTTTCTTTTTTGGTTGTATCTTTATCTGGCTTTGGTATTAGAGTGATTCTGGCTTCACAGAAGGAATTTGGAAGTTCTCCCTCCATTTCTATCTTTTTGAATAAATTAAGTGGTATTGGATATAGTTCTTCTTTAAATATCTGGTAGAACTCTACTGTAAATCCATCTGCTCCTGGTTTTTTTTTTTTTTTTTAGTCAGGAGGTTTTCAATTTCCTTATGTGTTATGGGTCTGTTTAAGCTGTTGATCTTTTCTTGGTTTAGTTTTGGTGGTTCCCATGCTTTTAATATCCATTCATTTCTTTTAGGTTTTCAAATTTAGTAGCATATA